AGAACACGCAAAAACAAAAATGTGCATCTAAAAACTGCGGACGGATGCCTGATACGTGATCCCAAACTATTAGCGAATACATTTAACTCTTTTTTTGCAACTCTTGGAAATTTACATTTGGTCCGGGGTAAACCCAAGAACACTTCTATTAATAAAATCGAAAATTCTTTCTTCCTTAGCCCCGTAGATAATGCTAATATCAATTACATAATAAAAAAAATAAAAATAAAATATCCTTTGGTATCGATGAGATTATATTCTAGTATAAAAATGTGCTGATTTGCTAACGGTTCCGTATACTTTCTTAGTGAAACAATCCTTCTCCGAAGCGGTTTTTCCAGACGCATTAAAAGTATCAGTTATAAAGCCTCATCATAAAAAGGGTGACGCTACTAATATAAATAATTTTCGTCCCATAGCTATGTTAACAACATTATCAAAAATATTTAAAACCGCTATGATAAAACGCCTCGTGGGTTTTTATGAAGAATTTAACATTTTTTGTGAAAGTCAATGTGGTTTTAGGAAGAACCACTCCAACTCACTGGCTGTTTATAAATTTATAAAGAATGTATTAGAAACAATTGAAAAAAAAAACAAAGAAAATGCAGTTGGGCTTCTTCTTGACTTAAGTAAAGCATATGATAGAGTTTGTCATGCGACTCTACTAACTAAATTATACCAATCGGGAATCAGGGGATTGGCTCATGGTTGGTTTAAATCATACCTCACCAATTGCTTTCAACTAGTAGAAATTGAAAATACTAACTTCGAGACGGGCCGAATTACTTCAACTAGATCTGATGTGGTCCCCGTGAAGGGGTCTATCCCGCAAGGTAGCGTTTTGGGATATATCTTGTTTCTGATTTATATAAATGATTTGCCAAAAATATTCTACAGTAAAAGCATTCTCTTTGCAGATGACATTTCCGTCTTAATACCTTGCTCCAATACTTCAGAATTGAAACTTAGTCTGAATTCAACTCTTGGCAAAATAACTAACTGGCTAGAATCCCATAACCTACAACTTCACCTTAATAACACCAAAATCATCCAATTTAAACCATATCAAAGGTCTGGATTAGACATATCATACAGTTACAATGACACGAAATTGGATGTGGTAAGCTCCGCTACTCTGTTGGGTATTGAATTAGACACACATTTGAATTAGAAACAGCACATCCAAAAAATAACAAATAAGCTATCATCTTTTATATGCGCACTCCATCAGTTACAACGTGCTAGCGATTTTCAGTCCACTATTGTAGCTTATTATGCGTACGCGTATTCAATACTTTCGTATGGAATTGTATTGTGTGGAAACTCATGTAACGTTGGGAAGGTGTTTGTTTTGCAGAAAAAATGTATATTACGAATACTGACTGACATTGACCAAATGGAATCCTGTAGATCTTATTTTGTAAAGTACAATATGTTAACTTTAGCTTCCATCTATATTATGGAGTCTTGTAAATCACACTAATATTATAAATTGTGAGCATGTGAGTGTGTATGTTTGTTACTTCTTCACGTCTAAACGGCTGGAGCGATTTTAATAAAATTTGGTCTGGAGTTAGCTGACACCCTAGAATAACACATAGGCTACTTTTATCCTGAAAAATGTTAGGTTCCAGAAGGATTTTCAAGAAACTAAGGTAACGCAGACGAAGTCGCGGGCGACCTCTAGTTTATTATAAAACATCCAGAATTTTATTCACCACTAAAAAATAATAAAAAGAATAAAAGAAACTTAAATTAATTTAGATTACCGATATCGAAAATGAAATTAGTAGCATCGATCCCCATATAATGATGATAAAAAAATATAGCCATATTCCTAACTATTTAAAAAACTATAACACACTGACGCAATTTATCAAACATTTAAAAGGCTTTCTTATTGTCAAATGTTATTATGACTTAAATGAATTTTTCGATGACAAAACACCCAGCCAATGGTATGCTTCAGACTCTTAAGAATTTAATTTATTATGAATGTATTTAAATGAAGAATAAATAACAATATTATTTTAATGAATTTATGGCGTCGATTCTAGCATGATTCTCTAAACTTTTTCATTCTGTATTGGGAATGATAAGGATACACTGTCGTCAAATTTAGGTTTGGGTTGGAGAGTCATGCTAGGATTGACACCAAACACCAATGTATGGTATAGAATGATTGAAACTTAATTTATAAATTATCGTGCAATTGTTTAATAATGTATTTTAAATAGAAAATAACCCTCTAAAGTTGCTGTGCCCTTGCAGGGCGACACATGGTTACTGTATTTGTTATGTACCACCTTATTTCTGTGAATGTGATATGCAATGAATAAATAAATAAATAAATAAGCGCTCTTCATGAACATTTAAGAAAAATTATAACGATTAAGATAGATCAGTTATTTTAAGAGTAATTGTCGTTCAAGTTATGTATTAAAAAACTTCTTACTTAATAAAAAATCCTTTGAAGAAATCATTGAAAGTGACTAAGATGGAGTAATTGCTTAAAAATCTTGCTTTGAGAAACAAAATCTAAAAAAAGTCTACTTATTGAAAAGATCACAATAAAATATCATTAGTTCCCACAAAGTTGCCGCTCGATGGCGCTATACCACCGAATCCCGAACCGCGCTATACTTTAAATTCTATGAGGTGGCTAAGATCCATTTCATGCGGAGTAACGCAGGGGTCCATTCTTGGGCCTTTACTCTTCCAATATATCCGATATATATCAATAACTTTACTAAGGCCAAAATACTTGGACAACTACCTTTATACGCAGATCATACATGTCTATTCTATCATGGAGACTGTTTTAATGATATGATCATATAAGTACAAGACGGTTGGAATTTAATTTTTGATCGGTTTCAATCTAATCTGCTTACAATTAATATTTCTAAGACTTGCTACTGTCTTTTCAAATCAAAAAATACACAAATCAACCATGCAAGGTCTTATCTTCTTTTATAGGCGCCATGCGACTCAGCGTAGGATGTATTCCACGTGAGGTTCAATGATATACCACTCATTTGTCATGGAATTGTGGGAAAGTGCGCCTAAATCAAGACTCAAAGAATTACAAATACTATAAAACAAAATCATAAAAGTTCTATTCAATCGCGATTATCTAACTAGTACCAATAATATTTATATGAAAACCAAACTAATGCACTTAAACCAATTATTTAAATATATATATACAATACGATAATACTTATCTACAAAATTTTCTCTAAAGAAATAAAAACCAAAATAAAATTAACTAGATCTCACGAATTGCCTAGATACTCACTTAGAAGATACAAGTCTAGGCAGTACACCCTACATCGAGAACCAGCTACGGTAAGAAAAACAAAACAATTGAAGGAGCACAGCCATATATCATGTTACCCGGTTATGTAAAGAAGGCAGAATCAATCAGTATCTTTAATAAAAAGAGATTATAACCACATTATGATGATTTGGAATAAACTACTGACTACGTCTGCCGCCTACTGACTGAGATGAATTTATTTTTATATTAAATAGCTACTATTATGTATTTTAGAAGTGTTTTTTTAATTAATTAATTAATATTAAAAGAGATTTTATGTAAAATCTTACGATAATCTCAAGTTAAAAAAATATCCTAAAATATATAGACTTTAAGAAGTCTTTTGAAAGTGCGCCTCGATTTTGACTCTCTGATGTCCTTCGGTTATTGATTATATATTTGGGTGCCTTCGTACATATTGCAGCTTTTGCCATATTTTATACTTGGTTTCATTACATGATTTCATAACTTCTTAGTTTCATTAGTATTTTTCATTGCGTTTTCTTCGAGAACGTTATTTTAGTATGTATGTCTTAATTTAATATTTTCCGAACTAATATACAATTTTGATACATATGATAATCCCTCCCTGTGACAATGCCGTGCGGCGCTCTGTATCTTCACAAAGCAAAATTATAATTAGTACTTATTATTAGGCGGATGCACTGACCAATTATGCTAACGCTACCTTTAATGACCGTGTCGAATTTCTTTTAGTATTTTTAGGTTGCAAGGCCGTTTCGTTTTTCGTTTAATTAATCATTTAGATAGATTCTGGATATGTTTTTTTTTACTAGGTATTTCCCCTGACAAAAGGTTTTCCAGATTTTTTAAAGTGAAATTTTCATTAACATTGCCACCATTTTTTTCGTTAAAGTTAAGAAAGTCATATTACTTTTTTATTGTTATTAAAAAAATCAGACCTAATCAACAAGCTGATCCCAGCCGATTAAACAGGTTTTTTTTCACTTTATAAAATCCAAACTAACATCAACTATTAAACGTAAGTATCATCAAAGGTATTCAGTAAGATGAAATCTCACTTACAACGTCAAATATCTAATACTGGCTGCTTCTACAGACATTTTGCTGTGTAATGGTGTATTGCATATCAAACTAATTCCTAAAATCGGTGGTGATATTTTATTTTACAGAATCGGCTAACTAGCCCCCATTATCTCTTTTGTATCTCTTGAAATTTGAGCCGATATAAAGAACTTTAACTCCCTTATTAATAAACGAAGAATTAGCTTGGATTAGTTACTCCATTTAACTAAATTTAATATCAGTCTCTCCTTTTCATTCTGTATAGAGAATTACAATGATATACTGCTGTCAAATTTAAGTTTAGGTTTAGAGAATCATGCTAGAATCGACACCCATGTCTTGTCTCGGTTCTTTGAAGTCTTCTTAGTTACTTCATTTGAAATAAGAAGAATATTTGGACAATTGACATTTGAGTGATATGAACAAAAGACTGCGTAACTAGTCCAGGCTTATTCCTTGTTTATTAATAAACGGGTTAAAGTTCCACTTGAATCGTGGTTTCATTAAACCAAACCAATATTCAATATTAAAAGTTATTTTTTATTTAATTCTAAAAGTTTACACTCGCGTTGTTGCATGCAAAACCTATGTAGTTTACTATTATAAGGAAATGTCCAAAATTCCTTACCTGCTTTTTCTAAGGCTTCCTCAAATGGTATTTTACCATCTTCATGATACTGTGCACTATTGTAACCATTCATTTTCACAACTTTATCTTAAAAAATACCTACTTTAGAATACGTATACAACTGTCACTTTTTTATAACCACTTTTTTATTAGCACATCTAATTAATCACCGCGCATGCTTACTCACGCATTAGGTCTACAAATGGCGATGGCCGAAGGAATAGTATATCTACATTGATAAATAAATTACCATTCATGATACAGAATAAGATTAAATGTTGCAAATTGTCTGATAACATTAGCACAAATTGTAGTGATGTGAATTCAATAGTCCTACTAATCATAATACTTAAGTCTCTCTTGTGCGTGAGTTATTTTTACGTTACTAATATAAATGATAATGTTGTAGTTTTGTAGTGAAACTTCTTAAGGCACGCTTGACTTCGGGGTAAGCTGGCGAATGCGTTACGCGTTACGAAAAATGTGTTCGGGCGAGGCGAACGGGAGTTGAGTGGGGAATGTATGCAAGAGAAAGCAATGTGCGCGCACATTTTCCTTTTCTTATAGATAGGAAATGAAATATTTATATGTACATACACATGTATATAATGTTTACATAACATATATATATATATATATACGAGTATATACAGGTGTTTCTTTTAAGGTGTCAAGCCAGTGTGAGCTGATTCGTTATTTATTAAGTTCAACAATGTTTTTCTTAGATTTTTTTTTAACAGAATGCCTATCGCTTGTAGTTTTGTAAGTAAAATAATCTTCTTCCTGACTTTAACCTAAGCTATAAGAAATTTAATAAAAATAAAATAAGTAAAACAGAATGGATTTTCAATTAAATTAAAAAAATGCAAATAGTTATTCCATAACTTCTTACTTCATAAGCTTTCATTAAAATACAAAAAAAGATGTACTTAATGGTGCATTCATTATCTGCTGAAATCTGTTGTTGAAGGTGTTGAATCGGAAATCGAGTAATTTTAATATTTTATAATTTCGTAGTATCTTTGCATATTTTGTCAATCTGAAGTTTTATTAGCCTTTTTAGTTAAAGTGTAGCTCATTCGAAAATAAAAATAATAATTTTATGATAACTAATCACTTGAAACTCCTGTTATCCTCCTCCTCGGGTATTTTTATTTTACGCTTGTTAACGCCATCTATCCTTCGACGAGAGAAGCTGCAAACGGTCCATCATCATCGTCCATTCATACATTCATTTTGTACCCATTCGTTACTGCATTCACTCATTTTGATTTATATAGATTCACTCTCCCTCTTGCTATTCGAATTCAAAAAAGACAACGTACGCACATAATTTTAATAAGATCTGTATTTTACTATGAATAATATTCTATAATCTGAATATCCGATTTTTATTGAGAAATCCACATATAGAAGACACTAAGCTAGCGAACAACGCTTAAATAAGGAAGTGTCTACGTGTACGTTGAGGACTCGCGATTGAGCTTGATATTAAGGTTGTTTGTGAGTAACCCCCCCTCAGGTTCGAGTGGTCTAGAGGCTCCAGACGGGGAGGAGACTCCCCCCGTGGGAAGACATTCGCCTGGAATACCTCTTGAGGCACTCGCTAATTCTCGACTTGAGGTCCCTTTAGGATCTCGCCGTTCCCAAACCCGGTGACGTTGTAAAGGTCATCTGTGACCAACAGCATACACTAAAAAAATGGTCCAAATTTTCAATATTGTTAGTACAGACGAAACCGGATATAACGACATTGAAGGGACCATATAACTTCGGGCGTCATGTCCGATAGTTGTTATAAGCAATATACACAAGAAGTCATACTATTGTCATATGTATTTAGTATGGTTATAGATAATGATTATAAGCTTGTTTTCAAATAAGATATCGGAATAAGAAGTAATAAGTTTACTAAGAAAATATTGAAGTATCTGCAGTATATTTTGTTTTACTGGTACAAGTAAAACGGTCGTTATAGCCGATGAACATCGATATGCACTTTATGAATATTCATTGGCTATAAGTCGTTTGAAGCGGTATATCGCTATATCCGGTGTTGTTATAGGCGGTTTGTTTACTTAAGAATTTATATGGGGTTTCGGTAGGGACCTTGCCTATTGGTCGTAATAACCGACACGTCGTTATAAACGATGTCATTATATTAAATTTGGACTGTATTTATATTTTAAGTTATATTTTATTTTTTTAAGCATTTAACTGCTAGATGTTTGAATCTAAAGAAAATTTTACTAGAAAAAAAATCAACGAGGACCAGGCAGACGGAACTCGAACCCGCACCCTTCGCTATCCGGGCTTATGCAATGACCATTATGCTACCGTGGCCCTGATGGCAGTGTCAAATTTTCTCAAGTATTTCTTAGGCTGTAAGTAAGGTAGCGCCATCTCTTCGCATTGTAGGTAATGTTAATATTGTTTTTAAATTAAAAAGCAATTATGAAAATGGTGATCACATAAAATGTGTAACCAGTAAAAAGGTATTTAGCACATTAAACATGGTACTACTCAGGACTCTAATAATAATTTGAGACTTCGGTACAATCACTACGGTTAAAATAGTGCTGTGCGTATAGAATTAAGCAAATCCGGCGTACCTAAGTAATTAAATGATAAACGATGTAATTCATTGCCTTGCTCCAACAGGCTTGTGGAACAAGGCTATCGCCGTATGCACGCCAGTTACGTTGTACGCATGCACAATTAAAAGTTGTGCATGCGTACAACGTTACTGGATTGTAATGAAAATAAAATGAATTATCACACTGATATTATAAATGCGAAAGTTTGTGAGTGTGTGAGTATGTATGAGTGTCTATGTCTAAACGGCTGGAGCGATTTGAATAAAATTTGGTATGGAGTTAGCTGGCATCCCGAATAACACGTAGCGTACACGAAATTTTCACGCAGTAAAACGTAGCCTATGTTAACATAATAAATACTAGGCTACGTTTTACTGCGTGAAAATTTCCCCAATAAACCGCGGGTAAAACGGCGGGACACAGCTAGGGGGCCTTTCATAAAATACGTTCGCATACAAGGGGGGGGGGGGAGGAGTCTTGCTAAGTGTGACAAGATGTGACAAGGGGGGACGGGGGGTCTACGGCAACGTGACGTTCGTCGTTTATTAAAAAAATTTAAATTAGTATTTCTTTCAACTATTTTTCTTTCTCAATTTTCATCAAGATAGAAAATCATTTATTTCGTATTTAGTAAACATATAGACATTCAAACGTATATAGTTTTATTATACAATAAATTGTAACTTGATATATTTATTCATGTTTATTTTTCGACATTAGCGCATATTTATATATTTAAATTTTATTATAAAAACTAAATAAATATTTAAATTCTTAAAATTTGTGTACTATCAATTGAAATTAATCATACTTGGGGAGGGGGGGGGGGGGGGGTCTCCGTTTTTGTGACGGAATATTTCAAGAGGGGTCACAGAAAGTGTGACACAGCGTGACAATAGGGGGCGCGGGGGTCGGAAAAAGCTGATTTTAGCGTGACGTATTTTATGAACGGCCCCTACTTTGAAATAAAAAAGAGTATCTACATCATCAAAAAGCCTACAGTACCCCTAGCACGAACCATTATCGAATTCGAACAGTTTGCAAACCGAAATGTCAATGTCAAATTTTGTATGGAAACTTGAACAGCAGCGGCACAAAGTACGTAACGAGAACTGAAAATCAGTACACATTTGACAATGACATTTCGGACTCGCAAACGATACGAATTCGAAATTAGTTCGTGCTAGGGGTACTGATGTTTTCCATTTCTGATGCACATAACAATAACAAGCAAATAAGTGAAATGATAACTTTTGATTTAATTATTTATTTAAAAATTAAATAACACATTTATATTCAGTCAGGTACGAACACAAAAGTTACTTACGAACAAATTAAATTAATAAGTACAATCAGTAATCACTATTTACACATATAGGTGATAAAAGAGTTTTTAATAACATATTATTACTCTTCGTTCACACACTTTTGATTCAGACTTATTTACATTTAAAACTTACACTTTTAGACTAAATTCACACTCAGAAAACATACAAATTATTTATAAAATTACCATCTTAATCAGACTACATAAATTCCCATGCTTCAGTCCTCATAAATATCAAAAAGTTATTTTCTCTTACTAAGTTACTTCGTCTGCCAGTAACAAATTGTCTTTTTAAACATTACGTCATCATTATTATCGACAAACTTAGTACGATAAACACTTACAATGTTATTATTCAAACAAAATATAAGCAGTCGTTAAAAACATAAGGTTTTTTTTTTATATAAAGATATAGAGTAAATTTCCATCCTGCACGTTTAATCACTACATGTAACTCCCTTAAAGCTAATAAAACTTACATATTCCTACATTCATACTAAATTTTAGACCAGCTAAAATTGCTTGGTATACCAGTACCGAAAATTTAAAATCTTTCAAAATATAGAGTTGTATGAGACTAGTTGTACAATAAATAATTTTGATTTGGAGCATGAGGTGAAATGAACCCGTTATCGAAATTAGTTAGCAGTCCGCATAATATTTGAGATATATTGTCCTTTATGCTAACTGCAAGTCAATCACCAGTGGGTGCCATATTTTCTCATCAGTAGATTCTTTCATTGGTCATCAGCCAGTTTCTTCTCAGTCGGCAGGAACCACGCTACTGCGACAGCAGCTGCAATTAAAAAAGATTTGTTAAAGAGCAACCAATAGAATCAACTCTCTTAGGACGGTTGTTACCGAGACGATTACTACCCGGATCTAAGCACTGTTTTAAATCGTGTCTACGTCGGATCGTCGTTAAGTATGGTATTGAGATTTGTTAACGACACATCTCACATAGAATTTAGATGCTCTAGTAGTAAAAACATCGTGGAAATGAGCTACTACATAATAAGTATCGTGTAAAGCTACATCAATTGATGAGTTGGCTAAAATGACTCCTGTTAATCCTCCAACAGTAAATAAAAATACAAATCCGAAACTTCAAAGAGTTGAAGGACTATAATTAATTGGTGTTGCAAGCAAAATCGCTTATCATCCAAAAATTCTAATTCCTGTTGGTACAGCAATAATTATTGTTGCTGAGGTAAAATAAGCTCGTGTTCCAATATCTAAACCAACTGTAAATATATGATGAGCTCATACCACAAATCCGAGCAATCCAATTGCTATTATAGCACAGATTATACCTTAACATCCAAAAGTTTCCTTTTCCCCTCTTTTCACCGGCTTTAGCGAAGGTTTAGGGTCGGTACAAAAGTACAAACCGCGCTTGTAAACAAGCTTAGCCGGCACTGGCCCGGTGAGAAACCACATAACACAGAAAGAGGTTAGAAGGGTGTTCATAGACCGTTTACAGGGAACCGATGTCGCCGGCTCGCCCCCATTACGCTTCCACCTAATAGATAATAGCCAATCAATCGACGCGACATCAAACAATTGAGCCAATTAGCGCTCACACCCGAGAGAATCGACGCAATCAGAACCAAATTTTGGTCAAGTTATGTGTAGTGCTCACACATAACTATGGCGTGTCTTCCCCGCCCACAAGGCCTCTCCTGAGTAACCTCTTTCTGAGTTCTGAGGTAGAAACCTACGGGTGTTACGCCGTGTTTTGTTCACATCACTCAAATGCCATTTGTCATTCAATGAACAAAGAGAAAACATGGAGCAACTAATCAAAGCTAACAAGCTTCGTTTATAAATAAGGGGGTTAGAGAGTAGAGTAGAGTTTAGGAATTAACTGAATGGGTGAGTAAAGTAAGGATTAAAGTGGAAGGAATAAACAGCGTTCAAATAAATATCATGTTGTCATTAAGTCGAAAATTAGACGGAAATTTGAAGTAATTATTAATACATGTTATGGAATAGAGAGGGTTTAGATACAGTGTCTGTAAATATTTCCTTTACTTTCTTTTATCCCCGGATCGTAGCAAATTGTGTTTGCCTGCTCTTTTGAGGAACGGGCATGAACTTTACATCCACAAAAAGCGGTAATATATACTTACAGAGTAACAAAACTGCCCACACGTAGAACGTAGACTCGCAGTCGTATGAGATGAGAGCTCCAATCGCATTCACACCGAGGAAAGCGCTGGATCTACCCAACATTATCGACAGACACGAAGCCATGCCCCTGGGAACAAAAAAAAGAAGAACTGTCAGATAAAATGTATAAGGGAAGACGTTTAGTATGAGAAATTAACTATTATAAACGAAGAGCCAGAAACCTTTGCTAATATTGTTCACAAAAAACCACTTGGAACACATTTTTTGCATATACCAGATTCTGTGTTATATTCTCATTGAAATTTAATTTTATCCACCATCATCCTTTAAACTTTTCGTGTCTCTTTCATTTAAGGACATTTGCTATATTTCTGTGAAAAAAGCCAAAGCCGCAGACTCAAAATAAGAGTTTTATCAATCACATTATGCCAAGGTCGGGTCCTACCTTTAAGTTTTCTAAGGCACAGAAAACAAAATTTAAGGAAAACCTTGCAGAAACAGAATAATTTATTAGAAATAGTGAGTAGGTTACACCAAAAAACTTACCTAAGCGATGTAGGGTACAGTTCTACGAAGTACACGCTCAAGATGCCCATGGTAAGTGCGCACAGAAGGAAGAAGAAGAAGAATATGCCACCAGCGATAGGCACTTGAATGACGTTCAGGAGGACAGCCGCCAGCGCAGACCCCGCCAGGATGCACATCATGCCGACTCGCTTGCGCCCACCGCAAGTGAGAGAGAGCACCAGATTCGCGGTGCTGGCTAGGGCGCCGTAAGACATGGCGGAGAGCAGAGTGGTATCTTGGATCGTATCGTTGCATACTTCAACTGGGGCCTGCGAAAAACATTTAAGTTTCAAACTCCCACAATATGACCAATCATAACATAATATGGATCATCATCATCAGCCTATTAATGTCCTCACTGCTGGGGTACAGGCCTTCCCTACAGATGGAAAAGGGAGATTGGGCCATGACATGACCCACCACGCGGGCCCAGTGCCGTGGTGCTAACGACTGGTAGGTTCTAACAACTGCAGATACAGCCGGAACTAACGGCATAACGTCGAAGCCCTACTTCTATCAGCTTCTTTTATTTAATGTTAACTGGAATGAACTACAGTGTAAGTCGAGAAGCTACGCCATTGGTTCGCAAATCTACGGCGAGAGTCACATCAACATTGCATACTTTTTTATTTTCACTTTTTCTGTTTCTCTTCATTTTATTGAATTGGAATGAATACCTGCTATGAATTTTGATGCTTTTATGTATGACTTGCTGACGTTTTGGATTTTTCTGTAAGCCGGCATGTGTAACTGGAATAAATAAATAAATATGTGATCTCACCGTGCCATTCTGCGCAACTGCCAGCACCCCCTGCGTGGAGAAACGGATGACGGTGCACAGGTTCATGCCCTGCCCTCCGCCCGACTCCAGCACCGAGAACAGGTTGTTCATGATGTACGGCAGCCATAGGATGAAGCCGCTGCCACTGTCATGGAAACAAACCAGCTTATTATACTGATGACAAATTCAACTAATAATTGACAAATTAACCAATCCGCACTGCGCCCGCGTGGTGGGTCATGGCGCAATCTCCCTATTTCAACCATAGCAAAGGCTTGTGCCCCAGCAGTGAGGTCATTAATAGGCTAATGATTATGATGACGAATTGACTTAGGTAGATAATAAAAGTTAAACCGCCACTATTTGGAAAAAATCTCAAGAAACTTTTTTATTGAATTTGATAATTTCTCCGTCCTGAGATAAACTGAATCAGTCACGATAAGAAATAAATAGTAATCAAAGGTCCTGAACTAGTGGTAGGAAAAAAATATTGGAGTAAAAGAAGAGTTATAACCTTATAGCCATTAACGAGATTGTTACCATGTACCTTGTTTTTGATGAGTCTCCGATATTTCGGCACTGTTGCAAGCGCCATGAGCGCGAGTTATATACCCTTTATATGTAATGGTAGAAGAGGTTTTTCTCCGGTTTTTAAATGTGATTGGAGACATTATTTAGCTTCTTGAATCAGAAAGATCTTAACTCTGCCTCGGTTTTTATGTCAATTAAATTTCTCCTTTGAGAAGTGGTTTGACTCAACAACGATTTTCAAGCTACGGTTGCAATATCGATTCTTCGATATTAGAAACTCAGAATTTTGGATACTTACGTCATGTAGATGACGATGACCAGGTAGAACAGCTTCATGGTGTTCTTGAGGAGCGGCGGCTTGAACAGGGGCACCGTCTGCTTGTAGAGGGACTTCAGGATCGAACCCTCGCTGCCTTGCGCCTGGTTCTCCTCGTCTTCGATCAACTTTTTAACCTGTTCCATGGAATTGGTAGAAACATTATAATCTAAAATCAACGTTTAGTATGTACTTATGCAACTGTGAATGCAAAATTTGCGAAATTTTCTTCAGTCCCTGTAGCATGAGCAACACAATTTACATTATATCACGTTTTTAACGCATTAAACTGACAAACTTCAAGGTAAATTAACAATTCAGCGTGGTATAAACGAGCTACAGTATATGATATCGCGGTGATCATGCTTGTTGGGCAAGAAAAGATCTTTACCTTTCATAAACTTAAGGTTACTGTAATATGATAAACTTTATCCAATGCGAAATAAAAGTGTGGCGGGGACATCTATATGCCCCACATATAACCAACATAGAGGAATTAATCACTCGCCTCTTCAAGAGATGGCGTTACCGGCGCTGTGTTCACAACGTAAGGAAGCCTACATCGCGCAAGTGAAATTCGGTAGCCAACAGTTCATATATACAATGCCCGACCAACATCAGTCGGGCCGCGGCCCCCGAGCTACCATCACCCAGCTCGGAGGAAGATCTTCCCCTTTGGCCTTCCTACAAAAGTCTAGTAAATTTGGTGCCAAAGTAGGTAGATAAAAAAAATAAGAGAAAAAATAGAAAAACAAACTCACGGGGAAATTATCGGCGCGGTCTCCGCTGTTGACAGCGTAGATGGACTTCAACACCTTCAAGGATTCCTCGTACCGGCCCTGGGAGGCGAGGAACTTCGGGCTCTCGTGGAAGAACTGCAGCAAGCAGGCGGTGGCGGCGCAGGGCAGTGCCATCACCAGAGCCAGCAGGCGCCACGGCCGATACTGGATACCCAGGAAGTCAATCCAGTACGAGAACTCCAGAGGCAAGATCGGGTATGCGAGTACTGTAGAAAAATTCTCATGTTAAATAATCTAACGGTCGGTGAATTGTGTTCCAGGGCTCCAAGGGGCCGGGTCAGGGTAGACAACGGTGTGAATGATATTTTTAGTTTATTCAAAATTCAAAAATCATTTATTCAGTTTAGGCTTTTACAAACACATGTGAAAGTCGAAAACTACGCCATCGGTTCGCAAAACTACGGCGGGAGACCTTGTACTGAGAAGAACCGGCAAGAAACTCAGCAAGGGCTGCTTTTTTCTCCCTGTCTTATTTCATACAGAGTCGTCAAATTGAAAGGTGACATCAAACTTGCAAACATTTGTTGAGTTCAACTTAATGTCAAATTGGTTACAACAAATTTCTATCGGCACTCCCGGAGTACAACCCGTCGTTTTTTATTTTAACTTGGTCTTATGACTTGATTATCTACTTATTGTAAGAAATTATAAATTAAATAATAAATAAATATATATTTCTTACACTAACACCAATTAGCCTAGCCCCAAAGTAAGCACTGAAAGGCTTGTGTTATGGGATACTTGGGTAACGGATATATTTACTGATACTTAAATCTTATCTAGACATAAATAATCATTATAATTATAAATCTATGACAAAATAGATATTAATATCCATGACTTAGTACAAATTCTCGTATTCATCATACTTACATTTGCCTCACCGAGATTCGAACCCAGGACCTTTGAGTAGGTGAAACCTTGAAACCACACATACCACTCGGCCACGGAGGTCAGCAATTTTTTTGTTTTTTTTTTCATAGCGAGCTAGGCAAATGACTCTACTACACCTGATGTTAAGTGGTGATAAAGTCCAAACGCGAAGATAGCTGGTACAGCAGTTATAAACTGCTACACCAACCATCCACACCTTGCCGGCCTGCAAAAATGCTTCTTCATGCCTCTCTTAAAGGACCTTACCTAAATGTTTTAATAAGAATAGACACGTACCTGCCACAACAGCCTGCGAGCACATCATCAGACAAGTGCAGAGCAGAAGAGAGCGGCCGCGGGAACGAGCGGGGCAGCTTTCACCTAGCAAAGTGTATGCGCCCGAGTTGCTGGCAGACGTACTGTGGACCAAACCAATATCGTCAAGATTGAAGAGGTAGGAAGCAAAAGAGTATCGCTCAAAATACAACAGTACCTCTAGCACGAACCATTCATCATCATCATCATCAGCCTATTAATGTCCCCACTGCTGGGGCACAGGCCTTCCCTATGGATGGAATAGGGAGATTAGGCCATGACCCAACACGCGGGCCCAGTGCGGATTGGCGGGTGCTAACGACTGCAGATGCAGCCGGGACCAACGGCTTAACGTGCCTTTCGAAGCACGGAGGAGATCGAGGTAGTAAATTTTTTGGTCACCCATCCAATGACTGACCACTGCGTTGCTTTTTGCTTAACCTCAACGATCGCAGCCGAACGCGCTAACCACTTGCGCCATCGAGCTCCTCAAGTCGAACGAACCATTATCGAATTCGAATAGTTTGCGAGTGTGAAATGTCAATGTAAAATTTTGTATGGAAAGGCAGCGCTACAAAGTACGTAACAGGAACTAAAAATCAGTACACATTTGACAATGACTCGCTAACGTTACGAATTCGATATAGGTTCGTGCTAAGGGTACAGTGCACAAAATATTTAACTATCATATGTATAAGTGGGTGTCTACATCTCTACATTAAACTATTGGACACCACAATCTTCCTGCGCGATGATAATATTAAAAAAAACCCCTAAACCGATTACCCGACTGCGGCGTTACCTACCAGGTAACGCCGCAGTCGAGTAATCGGTTAGTTATAAGTTTTCTTAAATTTTCTACGAAACATTCTTATTTTCTTTTCCATAAATATAAAGATAATTAGAAATTTAAAAATCTTTTTTCGTTTACTTCAGGTTCATTTATTGAAAAAAGTAGATTAATTTTCACTAGCTGAGTTGAATAGGTAGTGATGACGATTCTGGCAGGTTTCTCTCAACCTAAACTACAATTTGACAATAGTGTATGCTTGTCATTCTCTATACAGAATGAAAAGGTGAGACTGATGTTAAATTTAGTTTTAATTTTAGAGAATCATACCAGAATTGAAACCACTTCCTATTCAACTCAGCAAGTGAAAATAAATCTATTTTTTTTCAATAAATCTACCTAAAGTAAACGCAGATGCGAATCTAGATGCTTATCAAGGATTTTAAATAAAAACACGTGATAATAACTAAACAAAGTAATTAACCTTATTTATCAGAAAGTGTGATACATTAAATATTCCGATTAGGTAGATAAAATATAAATCTTTTTGTTTCTCAACAACATGTATTGTTATAATTATTCCAACTAGGAAATACCTTATTTGATTTTACGGACTTATTTAGATGCTTTTGTATAATCAACAAGGAGGTATAACGTAAAGGAATAAATTTAATTCGCCATCGAAATAATAATTATAACAAAAGGAAAACTTGATATATTGTTTATATTGATTGCATTATCTAATAACTACACCAATATTTCGTTATCAACCGAAAAATATCATGTTGTATCTACTATATCTCTTTGCTGCTGTTTAATTCAGCACCTGTCTTGATTTCTGCCAAAAAATTACAATATGATGATAACATGTAAGTTACATAAGTTTTCTATGTACTACATACATTATTATGTAAACCTAAGAATATTTATCGAAATTGATTAAATCATGGCATAAGTAATTATTTATGTATTTTTTTATGATCTAACTCTGCGTTTATCCTAATATCTTTTTACAATTTTCACAGTGAACAGCTGTTCCCGTTTATTTAGATTACCCCAAAGTAAGCACTATAAGGCTTGTGTTAAAGGATGCTACGGTAACGGATAGAATACATATACTGTACATATATAAGTGTATTTATATAAATACATATTAAACATCCATGACTGGAGTACAAATGCTCATATTCATCACACAAACATCTGCCCCCACCGGGATTCGAACCCGGGACCTCTCGAGTCGGCGACAGCCATGAAACCCGGCGTACAAACCACTCGGCCACGGAGGTCGTCAAAATACACCGTGTTCCTGAGGATATACATTAACTTTGAATAATACTTCTATAGCTCTTGTTAAACATATCGTACAAGGAAAGTAGTAGTTTATATAGCATAGTTTTTAAGTTATTGGTAATTTAAGTTTAACCAACTTAATTGTGTTGTGCAGTGAGAAAGAGTCTTTATCTGTGAGATGTTGCCACTTTGTGCAACCAAAACAATCAAACTTTCAACTCTTTGTCAATGTTCATTAAGTCAAAATTTTAAAAAACATTGTTGACGTAAGGAAAGTTTCAAAAAGTTTATGTGGACATGTGAACCAAAGTTTCAAATGCGACATGGCCAGCTCAGGTAAAGAGTAATTCATATTAGATAAATTACATCTAAACATTTAGTTTGTATGAAAATAAAAAAAAATGTTAAAGAAATTGGAATTCATAAAAGTGTCCATAGTAAAAAATGATCAATTTAATTGTATGAATAACATGCCAAAGTTAGTGTATTACCTCAGGAACACGGTGTATATTAAGTTTGTTATTTTTTTTTTTCAACATGATGCAATGCTCAAAAAATGCATTTACGAAGGTTGTATACATTGTTGGAAAATTCAAAATTACGGGTCATACAAAGGAGCATGCGGACTCGTTACAGTTTTTTTTTAAATTCGATCGCAACTCCTCGGATGCGCTTATCTACTATATAAAAATAAGTCGGGTTTTCCTTCCTGACGCTATAACTCCAGAACGCACGAACCGATTTCCACGGTTTTGCATTCGTTGGAAAGGTCTCGGGCTCCGTGAGGTTTATAGCAAAGAAAATTCAGGAAAAATTAAAAAAAAAAAGTTTTATTTTAATCACAAAACGAAATGTTACATAAAACGAAGCTATCTGGTGGCGAAACGGAGTTCGCTGGGTTTGCTAGTACTCTATAGGTACCTATGTCTCGCTTTAATACTAAAAAAGAAAAACAGAATAAGATGTAGTTCTAATTTTCACCACACGCACGTGGCGCTATTTGGAAATGCGCGCCATTTTATTATTAGAAAAAAATCGTTTCATTACTTATATTATGTACCTATAATTTTTTCTCGCAAATGTGTTGAAATACTTTTTATGACATTCGTGCGGATTGGTATTACAAACTCGTGGCTATGCTACGCTTACATTCGTCTGCTCGTTTGTAGTAACTTACCGCCTTAATATCATAAATAACTATTACCTCTAAAATTCTTTCAGACCTAAAGGAGTGCGATCAAAGAAATACATCTATATATATAAAACTCAAAGGTGACTGACTGACATAGTGATCTATCAACGCACAGCCCAAACTACTTTACGGATCGGGCTGAAATTGCATGCAGGTAGATGTTAAGACGTAGGCATCCGCTAAGAAAGGATTTTGATCAATTCTACCCCCAAGAGGATAAAATAGGGAATGAAAGTTTGTATGAAACTTTATCAATTTTAAACCGATCGGGCTGAGACTTTGCATGCAGGTATATAAGAAGAATCATTGATGAATGTCATTATGTATAATACAAGCCTGAGAACAAAAACTGTAGTCTACACTTCAGCTCTACACCGAAACGAAGCGAGGTCGGGCCGCTAGTTTTTGTTATAAAATGATGTAAGTTCTACATCTTCATCAAACTCGCAACCACGAACACAGTGAGTGCTTTTGTTTAAACGAACATGCAATTTTCTGTAAATTTTGCAATTCTTTTATAATATCTGACATTTTCGCGTACTGTTAAGATATTTAAACATTTGCGTTTAGATAAATCACTTGACGGTGGTAATTAATTAAACATGTGTTTAGTTATCATCAGACGGTGATAGCCGAAGAAAGGTGATTCTCCATGACGTCTCACAGACGAAATCAAAGTTATGACGACACAATCACGCCATAGTAACGCCGCTTACATCAAATATAAACAGGCTTTATAGTATTAGCGAATGCTGTTCTGTACATTTACACAGGCAGATAGCGACAGGTTATTTTTAATTTTTATACGATGCGATGTTATGTAAACATGAAAAGTTTTTACCTATATTTAGATTGATTTTCCTTATTTTTTTAAAGTTGTTGGTCTACTGGATTTATTTAAGATTTTTATTATCAATTATACCCGATTAATGTAGCTATGGGAACGACAATTCCGTATTGTGTTATTTTTTAATTGTTATGCTACTTAAGTAAAAATGGGACGCACGGCATATTATTATATTTATATCCATAAAAATTCAATTCCGAGGCGGCAGACCGGTTAGTGACTGTTCTCTACCGTAGTGTATGTCGTCTGCAGTCGCGGTTGCTATTCCAAGCACGGCAATATGCTGCGACTGCACAATGCATAGAACCACGCCTCAGTCTCTTCATTCCTTCATTCCGCGCTGCGGTCTCAGGCTGCAGGACGCAGTATCGGTATCAATGTTCTATATATATAAAACTCAAAGGTGACAAACAAACAAACTGACATAGTGATCTATCAACGCACAGCCCAAACCACTGCACGGATCGGGCTGAAATTTGGCATGCAGGTTGATGTTATGACGTAGGCATCCGCTAAGAAAGGATTTTGATCAATTCTACCCCCAAGGGGATAAAATAGGGAATGAAAGTTTGTAAGAAACTTTGTCAATTTTAAACCGATCGGGCTGTTTTTGCATGCAGGTAAAAGAAGAATCATAGATTAATGTCATTGTGTATAATACAAGCCTGAGAATAAAAACTGTAGTCTACACTTCAGCTCTACACCGAAGCGAAGCGAGGGCGGGCCGCTAGTTTCATATAATAGGAATTCATAGAAACAAATGCTGTCGTTGCAGTTTGCGGTCTATGGCCCGTCTCGGAATGACACCTTTACTTACATTCAAATCGAAAATATCAACATTTCTGAAATAATAATATTTAAACAACAACAAGAAAATGTTGAACTTTGAAATTTGTTTGAAACTTACAAAATAGAGCTGATCAGTTTGAGGCACGCCATAGTTTTCCAGTCGGGTGAGAAGCTGCTGAGACTCGCAAAGACGAAGCCGATGGACATTGACAGCACCAGGGTGAGCTTCCGACCCTTGGTGTCAGACACGTAGCCCCAGAAGTGTGCTCCCGCTACCACTCCTGAAATATATAATGTAGCAAAACTGAAAACAAATCTGCCTGGAAGTAAGCCTTCTTTATGAAGAGTTTATGCAAAAGTAAAGGGGCAATAATTAAAGAACTAAAGTACTTATCTTTAACGAATCAAACTTTTTCCATAAGGAAAATTATAACTTCTACATAGATAAAGATTTCTTTTTCGAACTCTATGGCGGTTGTGAAGTTAGCAGCGATCGCAACAAAGCACAATATCTCCAAGCTCGAACAACTAGCGAGAAAATATTCGCATCGCCATACCAAAATTTCTATGGAACAAGCCAGATACGTCTTTTACGTCAGATAGTGGCGCTGCTTAGTTTCATTAGAAACTTTGACGTTGGCGATACGAATACGGAGCTGTCAAAGTTCGTGCTTGAGGCTCAGGTTTCAGTTCAGTGGCACTCCGCGCGTTTTGCAGCACCCACACCACCACATTTCGCGGTTACTGCGCTGCGACTTGCGCAAACTTCACAGCCACCGGCGCGCAACGCCGCCGTTTATTTAAAATCGCACTAAAGCAGTTGATGATCGCTTCAGATGAAGCTTGTAAGGCCCTTCTGGCCATAAGCATCATTAATCATGCTTATGGCCAGAAGGGTGTTTTTTAGTCAGTAAGAGTCTGACATAACCCTACAGCCGGCTGTATGGATACCATGAGGATTTCTCAGCCTCTCCCCCGCCGGGGGGAAACAAAAAAAAAAGGAAACAAGCTAATAACTGCCTGACACTCATCCTCGCTCCTCTTAGTTCCTCCTAGTTCCATAACGAAAAGACACCATTCTGTTGAGTTACATTGTCACTCAAAGCAAAAACAATACGACATTGAATTTTTTTACCAACGAATTACAGTGTAACTCCAAATGCTGTGACTCAACGGGAACAAAGGTGTGTGGAGAGTGCGGTTAGCGTAGATTTAGTCTACAGATGATATAGCGTATTATTAATTTGGGTTACTGTCAAGGGAGGAGCTCGATCTGCTTTACCAGCTATCTTCGCGTCTGGACTTCACCGTCACTTATCATCAGGTGGGGTAGAGTCATTTGTCCGACCAATCTATAAAAAAATATAAAAAAAAGGTTTCTTACCGACTAGAGGCATAGCGGTCAGCAACGCCCTCTGCTGCATGCTGAGCGCCAGATCGCAGACTGCAGCCGACACGACGAAACTGCTGCCGAACAAATCCATGCCCATGGCCTGCAGTGTCCAACTGCACACCAGCAGCAAAGCGAAATTATACTTCCCGAACCCTGTGGAGAAGCAAACGGTTGAAGTGAAAACTTCTTATGGGAGGGTAAGGCGTTGAGCAGACGACGGGGCGGGGCGGGCATTTTGTCCGCGAAGCAATAAAGACCGCGTCTGCCCGTCGATGTCTGCGGCTGCCCGCGCCGCGTACACAAAGCACACGACGGGCAGAGGCGGTCAGTTTAGGACGTTCGTTCTAGTGAATAGTCCATCACTAATAAGCGCGTGGCGCGGACTGAGCTGACCGCCCCGCGCTGCCGTCTGCGTTAGTGCATATAAACTGGTTTGTATGATCCACGGCGGGCAGCCGTGGACATGCGGTCTTTTTGCCCTCTGTGTGCGTTTAAAGTATAGGATTCACTTTGTGCTATTATTCGCGGCGAAATTGACCGGCCCGCCCCGCCGCGTCGTCTGCAAAGTGCCTAAACCGCTTCGTTGCGTAACGCTAACCCGCAGCACCGTTTAGATTAGTTTAAGTTTGCCAAGTCTACTTGAGCCAACTGGTATTCCAAGAGACGTTGGCAAGAGACCGGACGGTATGAGTTTGATTCCATGGAACATGGGTCGGGTGCCAGTATGGGATGCAACCTGTTCAGACACGCTGGCCCCTTCCCATCTACATGGAACCAACAACAGAGCTGGTGCGGCTTGTGAAGCGGCTGAAAAAGCTAAGACATGCAAATACAGGAATCCAGCTTATGATTTTGTCCCATTCGGTGTCGAGACCCTTGGTCCATGGGGTCCTAGCGCTATAAGGCTTTTTAAAGAAATAGCAAAAAGATTAGTCGACATCACAGGAGACCGAAGAGCTGGCAGCTACTCGTACCTCGGACAAAGAATTAGTCTAGCTATCCAAAGGGGGAACGCTGCCAGTATCTTTGGAACCTTGCCTAAAGGGACTCCTTTTAATAATGTATTTTAGTTATTACATTTTATTTTTTAAGGTTTTTAGTTTAAGTTCATTGTTATAGTATATTTTATGTTTTCTTTTAATTGTATCTTATATAATTGTATCTTTATAGCGTGTTTTTTTTATTTTTTGAAAATTAATTCTAATTTTCTTTGCCACGAAATCAACTATCAGAAACAACTTTGATCATAAATTGATCCAGGAAATAGGGGAAAACCGGGACACTTGACCAGGTGAGAGAGTTGAAGTAACTTTCAAATTTGTAATTTTTTTTTAATTCAGCGCAAACAAAACGTCAACGACGTCAAGGCCAATCACAACAACCAGTCTTGTCTTGTGACCAATGAACGAATTTCCCTCAAAGCTAAATTTCAACTGTCAGAATTAAAAAAAAGCCTACCTGTAAGCGTCAGGGCTTCTTCAACTGTTGCCGAATTCCATATCTTCTTCTTTTCGACACCCTCAAATTCTTTGCCCGTCTTTTGATGCATTTTTGCAATTGCAATCTTAATATTTCAAAAACAGAACAGGTTGAAAATTTTCGAAAAAGAATTCATGAGATAATATTACGAATTTTTTTTTGATTTTAGTTTTCTTTTTCAATTTAAAATCTTCAAAGAGTTCTAATATCCAGAGGTTCCGAACTGCCGAACTTCGAAACGATAGTTCTTTTTTCACCAGTGACTCGAACAAGAGACTCTTTTTTTCTCTGATAGTATCGGAGAGTTTTCTTTATATACGTAAGTAGCTATCAGATAGCGCAAAGCATCGTCATGGGTGGTAAGCGGAATCAGAAATCAACAAGAACAGTGCGAATATTTGCTGGAGGTTATTTGCAGAATCTCAACAATTCTTATAGGCGAGGAGCTAGCGAATCTTCTGGAAGTAAGTTAGAGGACACGAAATGACCTTTTTGTTCGAGTCAAATAAATATGATATAATTTATGATATCCAGAAATCTGGTCAAGTGCAAGCGGCATTCTCACACGAAAGCCTTTGCAATTTTATACGTACAATACTAAGGTTATGCAAATAACTTCAAAAAAATCACATCTTGTATTACGACCACGTTTAGTTATTTTTTTTTATTAGTTCCACTAAAGATGCAGTGATCAAAAATTTTACTGATAAATTTCAGCGTGCTAATGAAGGCTCATCAGTGCACCTAATTTACCAGCATGTCCCGCCGTAATCATAATTCTATAGCTTCCTGGTCTAAAGACAATGCTCTCGTACTGAATCCGTCGAAATCGAAGTGTATGCTAATAGGTACCAAGAAGCAAACCGAAAACATTTTACGTGATCCACCCGTTGTTCAAGTTCTGGGCACAAATGTTGAACGTGTTCAAGAGACAAAGAACCTGGGAATAACTTTTGACAGTCGATTGCGTTTTGAAAGTCATGTGCTTAGTCTGGTAAAAAACTGCTTTTATCGTTTAAAAGTTTTGTATAAAGTTCGTAGTTTTTTATCTGAAAAGTCCCGAATTGCGCTCTGTGAATCGTTGATCCTATCTAGGCTCAACTATGGTAACTTGGTCTATGGTCCGCGCTTGTTGTACAGAACAAAGAAAATGATACAGCGTGTACAAAATGCTTGTGCCCGCTTTTGCTTCCATATTCCTCCACATACGCATGTATCACCATACCTAAATAATGCTTCTATGCTAAACATAGAGTCGCGTAGGCATTTGCATCTTGCCATGCGCATGTTCAATGTAGTGAAATATAAGAATCCTGAATATTTATATAATAAACTAAAGTATTCTACTTTTCACCATCACTACGGTTACCAGGCACGTAAGGGCTCCTTTGAGCACCCACCAGCACAGAACTGCTGGCTTCACTGGCAGTTTCCGCTACCAAGCGACTAAATGCTGGAATAACATACCTCCACCCTTAAGATTAATTCCGTGCAGACAGGCTTTTAAAACACATCTGAAATCATTTTTATTAGAACAACAGAAAATTGGAATATCCAGAAATTAGTTGCTTGGGTGCGGAGTTGTCGGCGTTGGTATTGTGTGCTTTAATTTTAATTTTATTTTCACTGAAACTATTTTCTTTGGATTTAAACATCAAGCAGTTACATGCTTAAAAAATAAAAATTATAAATATTTTCTCACTGATCAATTTATCAAATTTGTTTTCTTTGTTTTTATGTTTATGTAAAAGTACCATAACAATTATATGTCCAATGAATGATTTATTATTTTTTGTATTTAATTTAATTTTAAATTTGTTTATTGTAATGTGAATTTTAATCTGACATTTAATTGCGTGACCTCATTCATCTATATGGGTTAGAACTGAAAATCAGCGATTTACTCTCGGAGTAAATGTTACGCTGAGTTTTCGCCCATTCGCATCGCTGCTGCACACGAAAATATCAGTATAGTTATATAAATATAATTTGTTGTATGTTTTAAAGGATTTACTTAATTGTAAAATTTGTCTTCAATTTTGTATGTGTGCATGTTGGTGTGAATAAAGTTTTATCTATCTATCTATCTATCTAATCAACGACGCGCCTTACGAAGCACGTACGAACGCGGTACAATAGCTTTTTGTCACCCATCAACGCGAAAGTCATCCGAGAGTATCAGGAATAGTGTCGGGAAGACTAGGTAACATATATATTATGTGTAATATATGCTATGTAAGTTACATGCTGTTTCAATCGATACCTCTCAGTTATGAAAATACCCAGATTTTGCATAGTATTTTATAAGAATCTCTTAGCTTCAATGCATTCGAAGCATTTGGGCCGTTAATATCACTTTAATTTAAAAGATACCTACTTGAGGTTATACTCAGAGACGTCTATTAATATTTATATTTTCTTTTACTTGGTGCCGTAATTTCTTTCTGATACCAATATGTAGACAACACATCGCTTTGACTTGTATTCAATATAATTAACTTCTCTGAATGAGACCGTTATTTAGAAAGGGAAATAGTCCTAGACTTTTCAAGATAACTTTCGACGCCGTGAAGTACAACATGTCACGAAATAGTTTCCGATACATAGAATGGCGATTCTGCGGAGACAGAATTTTGAAACGTGACGTAACTCGACGCAACGCTATGCGTGTTGTGTCTAATCAAATCTACTATTTTCTATAATCTTAAACATATTAGGAACATCCGAAGCGACGCGACGCACGCACACGTCACCCGATACTATCTATCCAGATCGGCGTGTTGGTGGTAAGCGGGGAAACACACCACCCGACGCAGCGCATGCAGATTTTTTTAAAGCAAATATTAATTGTAAAAAGATCTACTCGGTCAACGTGTCCATAGATTTACACTGTTCAGACAGGATTCTAACCCGCCCCTTCCGCAATCCGGGCAGACTGTCTTGCAACCTAATCTAGAAGATATTCGAAATGGCCAGCAGCATATTCCGGATTGCGGAAGGTACGGATTCGAATCCTCTCTGGATCGACTGGAGATTTATCTAATCAATATTTTCATCTTTAGATTTATAAACCTAGCAGTTAAAAGCTTAAAATTATAATAACCTATCTACTTCATGTATACAACTGATTGGTCACTCTAGCTCTTAAGCTATGAGAGTCAGTTAAGGTGAATGTTTCGTGACGTACAAATGTTTATAATTATACGTTGTCGCCGATAGTAAAGCGATTTGTGTACTCAGGCATCAGGAAACATGTGTGCGTCTGTGATATAAATACATGTTACAGCGAGAATGCGAATTATACAATGTACTTTAAAGTCAACTTGCAGCAAATTTGTTTAATCTTCATTTAACTAAAACTAGATCTATCCCATAGAAAAATGTGGAAATGTCAATTTAACGTTATTAGAACGGGTTTAATCTAGTTTTAGTTAAATCGAAATTTAACAAATTGGCTTCAAGTGGGCCTTAGTTAAAATATTATATAAATGCTGCCTTAACTTAGGGGAAAATCGGGACCGCCGAAGGACGAGGGTTAGGAGAACAGAAGGCATAACAATCGGCGCCTAATCAAAACCTACGGAGGCCAGCGGGGCTCGGACTTGCATTGCACAGGCCTCTGTCGTTAGGTGGGGATGCCCCCGATGCCTTGGACCATCCCCAAGTTGGATAGGTCCTTTCGATTCAGACCTCTCACCTCACCGATGCCGATGGTCCGTAACCTTGTCGGGCTCAACATCCACCACCAGGCGGCACCCCGCCAGCGAGCATCAAGCGAGCCGGGGGGACCCACTGGATGCGGAAAGCGCAAGGCCGTTATGTATGGAAACCCCTTGAGAAGGCCTATGTCCAGCAGTGGACGTCATTGGCTGATGATGATGATACACTTTATGAGCCCATTATACTCCTGTTTTGGCAGTCATGTTAGTAAAGTGTGTAGTTTTCAACTGTCAGTCTAAGGTTGCTTTTTCATAAATGACCAATACGACGTTAAGTGTCGCCGCACAAGGGCCATCGGCCACAACCACAAAACACCGCCACCGGCATATTTCCTTTACTTTTCATATATTTTATATGGACTGACCCCGAAACGTGGCGGCCATTGGCGTTAGCCGTGTGCGGCGAGTCCATATAAAATGTATGAAAACTAAAGGAAATATTCCGGTGGCAGCGTTTTGTGGTTGTGGCCGGTGGCCCGTGTGCGGGGACTCTATGTGTGTGTATGTGTGTAATTACAATTATGGGAATATGCAGAAAAAATGCCTCCTTTCTGAAAATAATAGCTGAGATACATGTCAACCAATCACTCTTACCTTGCCAGTTTATAGATGTGCCACAAACCTTCTACAAAAGCACACTGATAATAACGTTATTTGACCGTCTTCTGTAGGGTGGAAGTTAAATGCCAATATAATTATGGACCATGGGAAAATGGGCCTGGTGGTCTCAAATGGCGGTATTTGTATGAAACATCTAAAATATATTTCTTTCGTATAAGTAATTGTTCTGTTTTATTTATTCGTTGCAAAACTAATAAATTATAGATGATCTAACAATTTCATTTAGAATAATATCTTATTGTTTTAAAATTAGATAAATGAAACATCATATGAAGAATAAAATTTACAGCTAGCCATTTCCAAGGATAGCGTATTAGCGTGATTATATTAATATGTAATTATAATTATTAATATGTTTAGGTATATATAAGTTTTAATTGCAGTGTCTCTTTTTTATTCTACAAAGCATGCCAAGCATATACTGCTGACAAATTGAGTTTTAGCTTTACTGTCGCCGCACACGGGCCACCGACCACAACCACAAAACGCCGCCACCGGCATATTTCTTGTAGTTTTCATACATTTTATATGGACTCGCCACACACGGTACGCCGGTGGCCGCCATACGCTACAAATCGTCGTTGCTCGCTTCTTGTGGCCCGCACCGGTCCTTAATGCGCCTATACAAAACGCCGCCACACGTCACTTGCGCCATTCCCTACCCCTCTCTCCCCTTCAGCCATTTTAGTAGCCGCTTCTAGCTTCTTGTGACGGGGTTTGTGGCTGTGGCGTGTGGCCCGTGTGCGACGACACTTAGTGAATCACGCCACGTTCAAACCCAGTAGCTACATAGGAAGGGCTTGTTTTTGTGAGTCTA